ACACACACACACACACACACACACACACACACACACACACACATACACCCTCACACTCACTCACAAATAATTCAATGGAGAGCTTGGAGTAACCCATCACCTGCCCCCAGTAACCTCTTGATTTCAGAACCCACTCCCTGGAGAGGGGACTGGACCTTTAATTTAAAAAGAAAAAAAAAAAAAAAGTTTGAGATGTGTCCGGAGTTCAGCTGGATGCTTGCCCCAGGTATCGCTACCCAGGATCGGGGCAAGTGCCCTCCTCTCTACTGCGGACCCGTTTTCCATGCCTTCGATAGGACAGAGCTAGACCCTGCAGCACCGTGGAAAGACACTTGATGTCTCCTGGGCTGCTGGCCCTTCTTGCTCTCTCCCCTCACACTGCCCTGCCTTCAGGTTTGGTTAAGCTTTTTGCAGGTGTGCCAGGAAGTACTCCTGGCCACTCAGGTCTGCTCTGGTCTCCTGTGATTTCAGAGCTGGTGTCAGCCACAGTCCCAGTCATTTAAAGACAGTGTGAGGGGCATGATGAGCCGCAGTCTGGGCACCAGGCTTGTCCTTCCATCCCCAGCTCTTCCTCTCTCCTCCCATTCCCTCCCTGCTCTGTAGCCCAGGCTGGCTTTGCATCTGTAGCCCAGGCTGGCTTTGAACCTGTGGTGAGGCTCCTTCTTCTGTCTCCACAGCGCTGAGATTACAGATGGGGTGCCACCACACGTACTGGGCCCCATTCTCTACCCAGAAACTCTTTCCCACGCGCCCTGACTATAGAATCGTAGGCTTTTAGTCATTTTTCCCATTTATCTCATTCAAACAGCGCATGTGCCATCAGAGGACACTTGGAGTGCACCGGTTCCCTCCTTCTACCGCATGGTCCCAGGGACCGACTTACCTCGTCTGGTTTGGTGACATGGGTCTTACCTGCTAAGCCATCTCAAAGGCCACATTTTTTCCCTCTTTATGGTTTTTCTCTTTTTTTACACTGCTCCTTAACAGAGGTCTCAGCACCCTGGGAAGGGGGTTTTAGTGGAACATCAAGCCCACCTAATTCCCTTTTATTCAGAGCACTTGGAAAGTTTATTTTTTTCTCCTCGCCATTTTTTTTTTTTTTTTTTTTTTTGAGACAGTCCCATCCTATAGCCCAGGCTGTCCTGGAATTCTGGAACTCAGTTTGTAGCTGGTGCTGGCGTAAAACATTGGTAATCCTCCTTCTTCACTCCCCATCCTCGGCTGTAGCCTGGTGCTAGAAAGACAGGCATGAGCTACGGTGCTAGGCTAGAACTTTCTGTGCTGAGGACGGTCCTAGGTATTGGACCCAGGGCTTTATGCATGCTAGAGAGATGTTACCATCGAGTTACATCTTCAGTCTGAATAATCATTTCCTTTTGTTTTTTTGGGATGTGCCACAGGTGTGTAAGTGTACACATGTGCACGTGTGGAGGCCAGAGGTTGATACCAGGTGTCTTCATCAGTCACTCTCCACTTTATGAGGCAGGGTCTCTTGCTGGTCTAGCTAGGAGTTTGGATGGCCATCCATTTCTACCTCTGCAGAGCCAGGCCTTCAGGCAGGCAGCCACCCCCACCCAACATTTACCTGGATGATGGAAATCTAACTCTGGTCCCCGCAATGATCGTTTCTTGATGAAACGTACCTGGAGCATGGGACACAGTTTCACACCAGGTGGAAACAAACAGACCCATCCTCTGTCTATGCCCAGCGCACTGTGCCTATGGGCTACTTAAGCGGCTGTTGGTGCCAGGAATCCCCTTTCATTCAGTGGGGAACCAGGTGGCGAAGGGCAGAAAGCTGCTTGGAATCTTGGTCAACCAAGCCTGGAAATGAGTCCTCCAGTCCCCCTGCTGGCCCAGAAAGGAGGCACACAGAGGAGGCTGAGGCTGGGCTGGGAGAGCCCTGAGGACTTCTGCCAGGTGAGTTTTCCAAAGAGCTGAAAGCATTAAGTAACCTAAACTAGTGTTCTGAGACGAATCCCCATCATCCCTCTCTGTGATGTTTTGTGTGTATTTATAGACGTGTGAATGTGTATGCTTGGAGGCCCGAAGTTGACCCTGGTATCTTCTCTGATAACTCTCCATTTCATTTATGAGATAGGATCTTTCACTGAATTTGGAATTCACTGATTAGGCCAGGCTGGCTGGCCAGTGAGCCCAGGGGATCTACCCGTCCCTGTCTGCATAGCAGGTATTTTACCCAGAGATATTTCCTCAGCCACTTTTTCTTTTAACATTTTTCTCTCCCCCACACGCCACCCCCCCTTTTCTTTTCTGGTTTTTCAAGACAGAGTTTCTTTGTGTAACAGCCCTGGCTGTCCTGGAACTCACTCTGTAGACCAGGCTGGCCTTGAACTCACAGAGATCTGCCTCCCGAGTGTTGGTATCAAAGGCACGCACCACCACTGCCCAGCCCATTTTTTCCTATTTTTATTTATTTATTTATTTATTTATTTATTTATTTATTTATTTATTTATTTATTTATTTATTTATTTATTTATTTATTTATTTATTTTTCGAGACAGGGTTTCTCTGTGTAGTTTTGGTGTCTGTCCTGGATCTTGCTCTGTAGACCAGGCTGGCCTCGAACTCACAGAGATCTGCCTGCCTCTGCCTCCCAAATGCTGGGATTAAAGGCGTGGGCCACCATCGCTCAGCTTCCTTGTTTTCCTTTTTAAAGACAGGGTCTCGCTATGTAGCCCTGGCTGGCCTGGGACTTACTATGTAGGTTTTCAGAACACATTCACTTCTGTCACAGATGTCCCCTAATCCAGATTTAGTCTTTTTTTTTTTTTTTTTTTTTAAATAATTTTTATTTATTTTGATGGTATTTTGCCTGCATGTATATGGGTACCATATGCATGCCTGGTGCCCATGGAAGTCGGAAGCCAGAAGCCAGAAGCCAGTGTCAGATCTCCTGGGACTGGAGTTACAGATGGTGGTAATGTGATGTGTAGGTGCTGGGAAGCAAACCCTGGTTCTCTGAAAGAGCAGCCAGTGCTCTTATAATTTTTTCTTTTTAATTTTTTGAGATAGCTTTTCTCTTTGTAGCTCTGGCTGTCCTGGAAATCTTTCTGTAGACCAGGCTGGACTTGAACTCAGAGATCCACCTGCCTCTGCCTCCGGAGTGTGCGACCATGTCCAGTGCAGCCAGCGGTCCTAATAGCTGAGCCGATTCTTCGGTCCCCAGACTCACTTTGAGCATTCTGAAAAACATTCTGGAACATACCTAATCACCCTGAACATATAATTTGTTTGAGACAGGGTCTCATTATGTATTTCTGAATAGCCTGCAACTTGTTATGCAGACCAGGCCGGCCTCAAACTCAGAGATCCTCCTGCCTCTGTCCCGAGTGCTGAGTTAAAGGTGTGTACCACAATGCTCAGCTCATGCTGAAAATTTTAAACAAGAAGGTTGATTTTTAATACTTTGGAGATCTTAAAAATATGTCTTGACCAAAAATTTTGTGCCTCAGAATAGTGGGGTTCTGTGAGGAGTCAGCCAGAGGCGGGATTCCATGCTGTTCTCTCCCTAGGAAGCAGGCCATATTCTGCTGTTCAAAAAAGTGTGGATTGTGAGAATTTTCCAGAAGCTGTGTGTATGGGAAGCATCTGTCAGTGTTTTTGAGGTAACCTTATACATCACCTTAACAGAGAGTACCACAACCAAAGTGAAAGCTGATGCCAGGAGCCAGTAATTGGTCACATTTCAGGGCCTGAGAGAGCGTGAAGTAGCTGAGGGATGGCAGGGCAACCCAGTTCAGGTGTGAGGACAGCTCTTACCTTGGACTTCTCATGCATGGTGCACACACTTCTATAAAAAGGCACCCTCCAGGCCTTGCCCTCCCTGGCAGGTTTTAAGCTCGGTGAGGCCCTGTCTGGTTTTGAGATTTTCCTAGAGAGACATTCACCTGACTCTTTCTCCCTGTGAAAATCACAGAAGGTGCCTGGAAGATCTAACTGCTCTGCAGAGGAGCCTGGGGGACATCTCCATGCTGGGCCCTGCCCTGAGGCCTTTGCTGGTGGGGAAGCATCCCTCTCATCTCCACGGCCCTAGCTCTTCTGTGTGACCTCAGCAGCCCCCGCTTGGGGCTCCCAAGTTGGATGGTGCAGCAGGAAGGCAGAAGTGTGGAGTCTCTGCTGAATTTAAGGTCTCGTAGGGACCTACTTCTTTGTCAGATGCAGCAGCCCGGAGGCCTTCGAAGGTGGTTACCCAGGCGTGTGCCGGCTCATGGGCTCCTGCAGCCAGCATCTTCCTGTGCCATCCTGAGGTGAGGCTGGGCCCACTCACTCACCAATGTAACCAGAGCTTAAGCAAAAAACACCCACAAGCTCAGCTACGCAAATAGGTACACCAGGCGCCGGGATTCAGGGACAGTGGCCAGGAAAAGGCACAGCAGACACAAGATTCCTGGAGTCTCTGCAGGGGGCACGTGTACAGGAAGTCTGGCAGGACAGCGCTCTTGAACCCAGGGGTTATGGCTACTGTCTCCGCACACTCCCCTCTCCAGCTTCCTTACCTCACTTGGCTCCCGCCAGCACCCAGGCTCTGCAGGCTTTGGCCTCCAACGTCAAGACATTCCCCACCCTCTCCCTGCTGGCAGGAGCCTCCCAGAGTGGCCAGACCTGTGTGAGTACCAGGAGTGGGGCCTCTAGCCCGGCTCCCCAGGGAGGACAGTGAGGGCGGGCAAGTCCAGGCCTGCTAGAGAGAGCAGCCATGGCGGGAGGGGGGGCACACGGGGGCTGGGACTGCTCTTACACAATCCTGCCGCTGGCAAGGCGGGAGGGTTGAAAGGCAGCTGGCAGCTCCCCAGGCCCTGACGCCTGAGCAAGGAAACCACAGCCTGAAACTCCAGGGGTTCTGAAGGGCGGGAAGGCGGGAGTTTTTGAGGCCTGTTCCACTGTGGCTACCTCCCAGACTCCATCATTCCTCGGAGGCCAAAGGCACTGCCAACCATGCTGGGCACTGAATCACAGGCTTTAGAAACCCAGTGAAGACACCGTCCTCGTTTGCCACTGAACATGAGAAAAATCTGCTGAAGACGTTGTTCCTTTTGCCAGAGTCCTGCAGATACCCTTAAAGCAACACGCTTACATACAGATGGCAGACGGAAGGCCGCATCCCGAGAGCATATTTCCCTGAATGTGCTGGACACTGTTCTCAGCTCTTTTTGCATATCTAGTTATTCAGTTCCCAACAGGCACTGTTATGCCATGTCTAGGTTTTAGAGGTGAGGAAATGGCTCACCTGATTTTTCACAACCAGCAAGCAGCAAGGCTGGGGGTGAATCCAGGCAGTTTTAATCCAAACATACATTTTAATTTAAAAATTTACATGTATATGGCCGGGCATGGTGGGACACCCCTTTAATCCCAACAGGAAGAGGCAGAGGCATGTGGATCTCTAAATTCAAGGCTAGTCTAGTCTACAGGGACAGGACTACAAAGAGAAACCTTGTCTTAAAAAATCAAACCAACCAAACAGGAAAATGGCATATCACCTATCTCTGTGAGGAGGCACACATGGAGGTCAGTGGACATCTTGTGGGAGTTGATTCTCTCCTTATCATGTGGACCCTCGAGATTACACTCAAGTCCTCAGGCTTGGTAGCACCTTTATCCTGGGCACCATTTTGGCAGTGCCCAAATCTGAGCCAGCTCCCAAGTGTGTGCTTTGTCTGGGATTCACACAGAACTGTGAGATAACCAATAAGGAATACGTATGCTGGAGATGGCTCAGAAGAAAGCCAGGCTGCGGGCTAGGCACCCACAGGGCCAGGTTGGTGGAAATAAATGAGTCAGGCTTACAGGGGAATGTGTACAGGAAGGAGAGGTGTGCCCAGGAAAATTCCCTAAAAGTGAACTTGCCCTGAGGCAATCTGGGCCACACAGAACAGCTCTAGGGCAGGCCCAAAACACCCCAGGTCTGTTTGAACTGACCCAGAGGAAGATCCGTGGCCTATTAGAGCTCCCTAGCTTGTTTGAGAGATTTGGGCAACACCATGGAAATGCCTTATTGCCTCTGGAACAGCCAAAGGCCGGAGATGCATGGATGAGTGGAGGTGAAGAGGAGGCAGGAAGAAGAGCTGAAGATGTAGACCAACCTGTCATGGACCCTTCACAGCCTCAACAACTGCAGCAGTTCTGGTCCAGAGGTGACTTCTGTTCCGGGTCTTCTCAACCATAGATAGCCAGAGCTCTGACCATGGTTTACTTGGTAGCTCGAAGCCTCTTTCTAGAATCTCTGGGTTTGTTTTTGATTGCATGAGTCAGACACACTGTCGTGAATACAGTGGGTGGTTGGTAAGCGCTTGAATTTAGGTGGCTTCTGGAACCAGATGCCCGAGTCTCCCTCTCTCCCTTCTAGTAACGGCAGGGGCACAGGCACAAGACAGATAAAGCAGTCCTTCGAGGGAAATTCATACTCATCCGGCTGCTCACTGCTTGCCACCCCACCTCCCTCTGCTCCCCGATCCAGAACCTGGTCTGCTCTTCAGCTGTGAAGTCAGAAGCCACAACTGCTGACACATGGCATAGGCCAAGCTCTTTGTGCATCTGGGTTTTGTAGACGGAATCAAACCCTGGAGAGTAGAGTAACAGGAGCCTAATGGAGAAGCCCCAGGTAGAAGGCACTCTCCTTTCTGTTTACCACGAAGCACAATCCCTCCTACAAAGGAGAGGTCTTTGGCAGCCTCGGCTGAAAGGCCCTTCTCAGTCTATGGAAAGTGGATCCAGGTCCTCGGCGGTAAAGGCAGCTGGCGTGCGTGTGTGTGTGTGTGTGCGCCCGTGGAACCTGGGGCGCTCAGGCAACCAACTCAGGGGCGATGCCTATCTGCAGCCCTCAGTGCGCGCAGAGAAGAGCCATGGCCCGCGAGCGCAGTGGCCGAGGGGCTCCGGGACGGGGGCGACCGCGGGACCCCGGAGTGCGAGCGGGCCGGAGGGCGGCGGCGAGGCCGTGTCCCTGCA